ATATTGATAGTAGATTCTTTCACTTATTACGACTAAGTGTGGTTTGTAGAGAATTTTGTTGAGTACACAATTGAGGCGTTGCTTTTGATCTCCATTCTTGTCTTAGGTTAAACACCGCCACTAGGATTTACGACCTTAGTAAGCTAATTTATAATTTTACAGAATAAATGTGGTTATTTCTTTTACAAGTTTACTTTTTATGTACGTTCTCAAAGATTATGCTAACGTTGACATTCCTTACACAATCCTGCGTGAAAATATTGACTAGTTTTTTAGTTCGAAGCAATATCGAGATATTCCATTTGATGAATATGTATGACGCACGATGACCTTTACTGAGCGAGACAAATAATTTATTCTGTCATCAAGAAACATTAAAAAACTTGTATCAACTATTCTACTTGCTCAATAAACTACCTATGTTGTCAATCCTTAAGCGAAATTGTGAAAATAAGTTAAACAGTTTAGTGCATGGAATGGAATCAATGTCACGCCTCTGTTCAGGTCAATCCCGAACCTGCAGAGTGTGATAGAAAGGCTCCACGATATGGTGATAGGGAGCAGTGACGGAACTACCTCTACAGGGTAGCAAGTCTTCAAAATGCCACGGGCCCCCAGCTCGAAGGGGCCCAAGGGTTCAAAGGTTTTTAAAACGGCGCGGCGGGGCCCTTCCTATGAATTTGCCACGGGGCCCGAACGGTATAGTTACGCCACTGATACCGAGGCTCCAACATAGCGAGGCTCTAGGATAGACTCCATGCAGGTATCATGTTAATGTCATTCATGTGCCCAATAACAATAATGACAACTGTTCTGGTTGATGAAACACGATGATCTAGTTGCCAGTTGGGATCGGTTTCCGCGTCATTATGATCGCTCTGTTGCAATTAAATCTCGATAACTAACTATAATACTATATATATTGTCTGTCTCTATTTGTGAGGGCATAAAAAATTGGTGAATATATTTTTTACGTGTTTTCTACAGAGGATAGACATTTTCATTACCTAATCTGGATGTTTTTAGTTGAATTTAATTTAAAAGAGCAATAGTTTATATCTATCTTTTTAAAAATAGTATCAAAAGTTCGAGAGTATTTTATGAGTAAGTAAGTTGGTGAAACATGATCCTATTTCAGACACTTCTCACTAACCAGCAGCTGTAGCCAAATGCCATTTAGCGCTTGTCTACATGTAGAATAGAAAATCAAGTTATATGGGATTGACGTAAATTTTGACACTTGTCAGTGTCATCCCCATACATTTTGATTTCTACTCTCTCTGTAGACAAGCGCTAAAGTGGGTTTGGGCTAAAGGCTCAGGTATTGCAAAAAGATCTTTAAACTGCACATTTATCTCAAAGTTCAACTGTCAATCCCTTTTTACCCGACTGATTTGAAACTCCAATCAATACTTTATTACCTGCGTCCATTTTTTTTCACTACACCTGATACCAGGTAGCGTTTTAAACTTTACCTTTTTGGCTGTGAATTAGCAAAATGAGATATTCGGTCAGCTTACATAATACAGGTAACAGAGCTCAGAGATCTGACAACAATGTAACAGGTGTGTTGCGCGCGCGCAGTGACACAGAACCGGAGCGTTGTGACGTCACGCGTAGAAAGGTACGCTCGGCGCGTGCGCACCCAGTCGGATGTAGATTAGGGTTGCCAGTTTATGTTGAGAACTTTTAGTGGGTAATTTTATAGTAGAAAGGAAGGGTGGAATTGCAGTTGTGTTCATTTATTTTATCTACTGCTACATTCTACATAGTATAATTGATTGATCATCTACTTATTTTTACTAAATGCGCATTTGACGAGACTACCAAAAATTTTTGGTAGTTTTTAATCTATCATGATGCATAGTAATTAAACTAGTATACATATTTATACTAGTTTAATTAAACTAGTATACATATTTATACTAGTTTAATTAAACTAGTATACATATTTATACTAGTTTAATTACTATGCCTCGTTGGCCGAGTGGTCGCAAGTGCGACTGCCGGGCAAGGGGTCTCGGGTTCGATTCCCGGGTCGGGCAAAGTATTACTGGTTTTCTAAAAAATCTCAGTAGTAGCACGGAGTCTGGAATTGTGCCCGGTATATGGCAATAGGCTCACCCCCTATTACATGGGACTCATAACATAAATAGTGAAAAGTGGGTGTTACTTTATACAGTGGTATAATGTGCACCTCTGCCTACCCCTTCGGGGATAAAAGGCGTGATGTTATGTTATGTTATGTTATACATATTTATATTACTTTACAACAGTGGACCTAGACATATAATTTGTTCCGCACTAAAACAATAGCTTAATTAGTGTCATCTGCGCTGCGTTGCTAATTGATTGATAGTGACCAATCAATCAAAATGCTATCAATGAGATTGGAATAATGTCAATTAATCATGCTACATATCAAAATCATGTCATTCCCATACAATGTAGATGTAGTAGGTTAATGTTGTAATGTAAATATTGTTAATGTAATTAACATTTAACAACAACGGTTGCTATTGGTCACGTTTTATTAATATAATTTTGTTAACTGGAAACAACATTATAAATAATTATTATAGATTCCAATGTTTTCAATGTAGTTTTACCCTTGTTATCCATTCATTTTTTATGGAATAAGCCGGTAAACGAGCGGTCGAATCACCTGATGATAAGCAATCGGCACCGCCCATGGACACTTTAAACACCAAACAAATTTGAGGATTGTTGGAATTTCGGGGTTTGGGGAAATTGGGGAGGAGTAACTGGGCCTCCGATAACCTCACTCACATGACAAAACAACGCAAGTGCTCTTTCACGTCGGTTTTCTGTGAGGCCGTGGTTTTACTCTGGTCGAGCCGACCTATTCGTGCCGAAGCATGGCTCTCCTACACTTATTTGTTCTGTAAATGTAACTTTACTTAGATACCATATATCATATTCATGTAATCTCAATCTATGTACAAAAATTATCTAGTATCTAATATTTTTCCGGATATAAATGATTAAAATTGCGTTAGGTACCTAAATGGACAAAATATTTTTTACTTCTGAAAATTTTTATTTAAAATGCTGTCAAATAAATAGCATGAAGTTTGAATTTAGATAGGTTTTATATCGGTAGGTTGTGATAACTAGAGGAAATATTTTATATAAAGTTTATGTCAACATTATACTTAGATTATTTTATTGAGACTACTTGCAAACCAATCACGGATCATTAGCAGTTTACCGTAATTCGATTCCGCGGATAGTAACTAGAAAGTGTGTCGTCTGTTAGCGCTAATATTTGGATAATGAGAAAACGAGATCAAGAGACGATTTCTACATTGTTTGAATGTCACCAAATTTAATTACCATGGCCTTTAGTTTTATGTTCAGTCGAGACATACAGTTAGCCTATGGGATAGAGACACCTGTCAAGGCTGGGTTTCAGGAATTCGATTCCAGTTAGGGAAGGCGTTTTAAGTTTAAATAATACTAATATTCTTGTTAAACTACATAACATAACATCACGCCCTTAATCCCCAGAAGGGGTAGGCAGAAGTGCACATTACGGAACTTAATGCCACTGTACCATGTAACCCCACTTCTCACTATTCTGTGCTATGAGTCCTATGTAATAGGGGGTGAGCCTATAGCCGTATACCGGGCACCATTCCTGACTGAGATTTTTTTTAAACCATTTAATACTTCGCCGACCCGGTAATTGAACCCGAGACCCTATTATTGCACTTGCGACCATTCGGCCAACGAGACAGTCAATTCTAGATAAATCTTTATAATATTTTAGTCTTAGACCCACCTAGGACGTAGGTCTTGTGGCACCAACTTTTAACTTATCTGCAGGTGAATAAATTCCTTGTAATTTCTAGATTCTAAGCATATTTTTACTTCTAATGCCAATGATTGCTGTAAAACCAGCCCTGATCATGTGTGATGTACGGGATTGGTGGAATGTGTCGATTCCCATGACACACCATTGTTATATTGTGTGCGTATAGTTTTCAAATTACCTACTCTTTTTATGGTGACCGTCAGGCCTTCATTGTTATTCTCCTATTCATGTGTAGTCACGACATGTGATATTGAGGTCAAATTGTTATTTAAGGGATTATTTTCCAAAAGTTCTTGTTGGAATTTGCATGTACCTCTTAGTCCTCTTACTTGGTTACCTACACTGGCCACACCTTTTCTTGGTGAATTTATACAGCAATGATCAGTATCGATAATATTATGGTAGTGGTACCCAAGATCAATTCTTGATAGGAAGTAGGGGTTCTTATTTCATCTTAATTTATTTATCAATCAAAATTTACAGCTCTCAAACATAACACATAACATCTTCAAACTATTCTTACTTCATAGAAATTTAAAAATCATAACAAATCTAGTAATCATATCACGATTGCGTTGCTTATAAGATTTCTAAGTAGATTCTGACTTCTCCTCCCTTTTTTTATAACGCGATGGAAATCCTCATGGACTTCCCACGCCGTGGGGACGATGGGGGAACGTGCCTGACTCTTACCGGCTAAATCCACCGCGGTGTTCCTCCTCTGTCTGTGGACGTGACCCGGAACGCCCTTGCGGATTCACCGCATCCGGCAGGCCTCAACCTACCACTAAATTGTGGCAGGGCCCACCACGTAGCAGCCCTCAAAAGCTGTGTTTTCCTTCCTCGAGTGTCGCGCGTGAACACACCGCTAACGCCTACTCCCGCCCATGACGTCTAGTCCCTGTACCAACTCAATAAGAAGCCTTTAAAACTTCACAAACAGCAAATTAAGTATCAATAGCCCGTGGAAACCAACAAACATTCAAACAAAACAACAAACAAGAAATCAGAGACTCCCAATAACCATACAAACTCCAAGTAATCGATTAGAAAACCTTACTAAAATCTAGGTTATACCTATTTGTAACGTAGGAAGTACTTAATTATGTACAAGGTACGTAAATGCGTGTGTTTGTCAGTTTGTCATTGTCCTCAGACCACGATGCCGTCGGACGTGGCGGGAGGGTGCGTGAACAAGGCGTTTGAAGGCGCTGATGATGGATTCCACACCATAGACCTGCGGACTGGCCGGCGGGACGATGATCACCTGACTAGAACGCAGGTAAATAAGTGTTTATTATATTAATATTAGATTAATTACAACGGTTACACCAATTAATTCATTTGTTGAACAAATAAAATAAAACTCAACTTTATGTCAGAACCAAAACCATATGAAAATGTCAAGATTAACAGAAAAATATCATTATGCCGGGACTTGTAAGACTCAAAGTCCCACAAATCCTTCAAATTCATGTCAACATTAAAAAAAAACAGTTATAATAATTATATTTTATTAATTGTTCGTAAAAATTAAGTCACAATATTACTTTTTATTCACAATTACAATATTTTTAACAAAATTGTATGGCCAACAATAGAGGTATAATTTGGTTTAACCTGTGTTAAGATTTACTTGATTTAACTTAATGTCCTATGTCGCATACATGGGCCAGAAATGGACCACAGAAAGAGGTCCGTCATCTCGATGTGTTTGAGATTCATGCTTCATCACGATCCACGCTATATCGATTAAAAAATTATTCTCAAGTTATTGTTATTGTTCAGATGTGCTCCGTATTGACTAGTAAAAATTGAGTAATGAACTGTGCTGTGAATATTAAAAGCGGTAGAGGTAATAGTGACCGGTCTCTGGCCTATTTTGGTAAAATTGTTTTTTAATCACCTGTTGTTATTATCTAAATTGTTGTTACAAAATTAATGATACTTGTGATTCGTATAAAGTCGACATTTCATTACAAACTATTAGTAAAACGTGAGTAAAACTTACTTCCAGTAAGGACTTTAAAATACCTAATAAGTTTCTAACAGCTGCTGACGTTTCTGTTACTCTGTCATGATGCTAACTTCAACTTGTTTCATAAACACCATAAAAATGAGAATCTTCTAAGAATATTAAAATTCTGAAAGTACTTTAAAACGAGTAGAAAACCTCTCGCCTTCCGTTCTCGATTTCCCTCCGAAAGCCATAAATATGGCGCGAATTTCATTATGTTCCAAATTCAAATTAAAGTCACGTCAAGTTCGCACGTGCGCAGTACTACGGCGGAGTACAGATTAAAAACTAGAGTGCTCTCGACTGTTACTCAAGGAGGCTAAATTAATTCGTTAGTCTATACTTCCGTTCGATATTAAAAGAGATGGGTTTAAAATCATTAGACGGCTAAAGTTGAAACGTTTTTTAAAAATCTACTTACAGGTTATTTCAAAATGTATGTCTAGTTCACTACTGATTAGTTAAATGAAGTGAATAAGCATGCATGAAATCTTAATAAATCCTCAATTCCTCAATAACGAAATCGATAACTCTTAAACCCTTGTACCCAACCAGGGTTTAAGTGGTTTTAAACAAATCTTGACAGTGATTTAACAACAAACTAAATTACATCCAATGCAATTATAGAACTATCTATCTCTATAGTATCAACAATGTAAAACTTGTGCAATAATATAAACACAAAGCGATTAAATAATTTTAGTCGTCATAACTTCCTGTATTTATCGTAATATCGTGCATATACTATGGTCCCTGTTTATAACCGGTGGTGTGCCGGTGTAGCCCTCAGTTTCTCGCGTGGGGTCGTCCCGCCCGCCCATAGTCGCGTGTCGCTCGGGCCGCTCCGCCACCGAACCAAACTTTTACGAAACATTACGCGTTCTAAGTTTGAATTTGAAAACGGAATGGTTTTGAAGTTAGAAGTGTAGGTGCAAGGCGGTTGATTTTTTAATAATGGTAAATTGTTTTCTTTTTTATTACTTTATCAAATAAAAATATAAAAATAATAGAACTTTTTTAACTGAACAATATTTGATTATTTTTTTACCATTGAAATATTTAAATTAAATAGATTTTTTATTAATATATTGAAGGTAGACAAGGAGTTCGGAAATTAAACACTATCTATTTCTAGCAACTCAAAATTTTCTTCCGCCTCTTAACCCCAAACAACATCAGCCTTGACTTTGAATACAAAAAAGACCGGCTATAACATTTTTTTATAACTATCGTCATCAATAAAACAAAATGTCGTATTATTATTGTTTTTATGACATGTGAAGATTTCACGCACGCAATACTTTCATGCCTACAACAGTTTACGTGTGAACCTATGCCCTCAACCTTGAGGTTTCTTACTCATTGATAAATAACATGACATTTTCCTATTTACTTACCGTTTATGATAATAAAAAATGTAAGATATATTATGATATTATAGACAGTTACTAGGCAAACATATGACAATAGATAGAACATAGGTAAGAACCACAGAAATATTAAAAAAGTCTTCTTTATTATATCTGTGGTAAGAACTAATAACAATAAAGTGAAAAACGTTGCAAAATTGTTAACTTTTTTTTAAATCCTATAAATAACTACCTAGGCTTTTTTTTTTTTTTTTTTTTTTTAAGGGGGGAAAATCATCGAATGACTGCTCCCGCCTGGGTGAGGCGGAAGGGAGTGTCAGACTCTTACTGACTAAAAACCACCCCGTTCCTTCTCCTGCACGTCGAGCCGGAGCCCCGGTTACCCGTTAGGTTCTCCGCGACTCCGAATCGGCATCGGCCCTATTGGGCCCCATCTGTGGTGGTCTGATGGCTCTTTGAGGCGCGCGCGGAACGCGACGCGCCGTACGCTCGGGTCTGTTTCTGGTCGGACGGGGAGCCACCCATGCTCGCCGTCCGCAGGCCCGCGCTTACGGTGGCCGGAGATCGTCCCGCGATCCCCGACGCCCGGTGTGTCCTTCGCGATGGCTGGGTTGCGAGGAGGCAGCGCTTCGCTGCCTCACGCGTCCCGCCTCCTCCTTAGCTAGCATGACTGCTTCGCAAAAGGAGGAGACGGCATCCCAGTCCCCCTCGCTCCGCATCATGGCCTGCACTAGGCCCGGACGCGAGAGGTCGCCATCGCCGATCACTTCCCTGAGGGCACGGCGGTGCTCAGCCCACGCAGGGCATTCCGCTACGGTGTGTTCCACCGTGTCCTCAGGGCGGTCCTCGCAGTGATGACACCCGGGCGTTTCCTCCCGCCCCATCAGACACAGGTACCTCCCGAAACTTCCGTGTCCGGTGAGGACCTGCGTCAGGCGGTAGGTGAGGACGCCGTAGCGTCTCTCAAGCCACTCCTCAAAGAGGGGACTTACCGCTGCAATGGCAGCGAGCCCAGCCCTCGGTTGCGACAGTCGTTGCTGCCATTCCGCCATGAGATCGCGCCGGAGCTCATCCCGCCACGCACTTATCTGGCGCGGCAGCGGAGTTTCGCCCCGGCGACGTGCCTCCGCGCGCATGCTGTGCACGCGCGCGAGCACCTTCGCCTCCAGATCCCACGGCGGTAATCCGGCAAGGAGGTTCGCCGACTCCCCAGAGATCGTGCGGTATCCGCGGATCATTCGGATCGCCATGACCCTCTGTGCCATGAGCAGCGTCCGAGCGGGGCGCCGCAACAGGTTAGGCGCCCAAACAGGGGCGCCGTAGAGGGCCATGGACCGCACGACCCCGGCGTATAACCTCCGGCAGGAGGCGTTTGGCCCCCCGAGGTTGGGGAGGATGCGTTTAAACGCAGCCCCCGTCCTCTCCAACTTTGGAGCCAAACGTCGGAAGTGTTCTATGAAGTTCCACCGACTGTCGAGGACGAGTCCTAGGTACTTCATCGTCGTCTCGACGCCGATGGTAACTCCTTCCCGCCGTTATTTGGGACCCACCCGGAGGTGCGCGTTCCCGCGGCCATGAAAACACATGGCCTCGGACTTGTGGAGCGCCACCTCGAGTCCCAACTGCCGGATTCTCTCAACGACTGTCGCAACCGCTGTCGCCATTAAGTCGGCCGCCGCCTGGTGTGACCAACTACCTAGGCTAGGACCCAATAAAATACTGTCATATATCTCCAATTGTTATTAAAATCCAGAAAAAAAACAAAGTTTTTTTATCTGTCTGAAGCTATGGTTTTTTAATATTGTTTTTTTTATATTTGATGGGCCGACGTTTGACCACTATCTCGCCTGGTGGTAAGCGTTGATGCGGCCTACGTTGGAGCATGTCGGCTGTACGTACACGTATGTTACTGAAACGTGTAATTAAAACGTGCAAAACTTAAGTAATTGCGTTATCTATCACAACATCATAAATACAGTAATTATAAAGGATTACTTTATTCAGCGTGCAACGCAAGTGCAGACATTGTTCATGTTTCCGACAGGGTCAATCAACCCTGTACCTATCGTATTAGGAAATAATGCAATTCTTACTAAGTTTTCTAAATTAAAATAAAGAAAAGATTTCCTTGATTTTTTTCTTCTGTTAAAATTAATGCCATTTTTTTCATAAAACCAAGGTTGCTATAGTATCATTCAGTAAAATAGGCATTGTGATCTTTATCATGACTTTATGACTAATCTAGACGATTCAAACATCAATATTGTTATGCCTATTACAATTTACAATCCTACAATACAAGTTACCCAAGTCCTTTAAAATAAAAGTTATGAACACATCTAATTAATATGTATTTTTAAAAGTTGAGGTTACTAGCCTAACTTATTTAATTAAGCCAGATAAAAAAAATCACGCAATTACCAACCTACTTATTAGTTTTCCATAAAATTCAACTGAAAAGTACAAACTAAATTCCTTATCGTAAATCTTAGGTAACTTCTAACCAACCACTTAAAACTAAATTAGCCTATGGGTCTTGTATGGGCACCTACCTAATCTAGGGTGTTTCGAACTCAAGACCTTGAAAAGCTAACGACCCAGTGTGGAAGTCCATGGTGTAATTTCGCTGTCAACCTGACATGAAAATAGGTGATAATTTATTGCCTGTTAATTGTAAGCTTCGGATTTGTAGAACAAAACATACATGACGATAAATTACCATTACATATGGACAAATGAAGTTTTATTATCCAACTTTGGAGTGGAATCGCACAGACTTAGCAATAGGAATTCCACAGTGGTGATCTCAAACAGCCTGACAATGGACTCGGCCAGATCTTACAGAATCAAGTTTCAATGGACTTGGAAACAGATCCGTACAAAAGGACTATTCCAATTCATCTCCTGTTAACTCCTGCCACCAGTTCACCACTGATTCACCAACAATATACTCATCAGACTTCCGCATTAAGAGCAAACGATACATATTCAATTGGAGCTCATTCTTCTGCCAATACAGTCAGAAGAGCTCTCTCGTAGGTATTAAGTACTCGAGTACAAAGTACAGGATACAAGCTGTTGTGACATATTGTTGGTCTACAAGCCCCATTGTGTTGCTTGTATGGACCCGTTTATAGGCCATTCATGGGACACACGTGATGTTTAATAGGGTAAAGAGATTTCGCTCAGAAATAGATTCGACTTTATGCTGGAATTGTGTTGGTACTTGTACGGTGATATTCAAAGTTTAGTAAGTTTAATGACCGATGTTTATAGATATAATCTTGAATAATGTTAGTAATATTAATATTTTTTCAATAAATCACCGATATACTCAAACTTTAACTAATCGGATTGGACTTTAAATGTATTTTTGTCAACAAATTATATGCATTCATGGTTAGGTACTTACTAAGAGTCATCGCATAGCAATGAAGTTCAGCAAAATGATCTAATTTAATAAATCAGTCGTTGCGTTAGGAGTCAGGAGTCAGGAGGTATGATTCAAACAGTATCCGTCTTATAGAAGTGATTCTATAAGACGGATACACCCACTGCGTCCCGTTTCGTCTTTGTATTTTAGTTATTTTTATTTGAACACTTGAACTTGTTGGGGGTCATTGCTAGACATTAAAAAACGTAGTGAGTCTTAATTTTCAATAGAAATTATCTTCCGGAACAAAAAAATGGGTGTTGTGAGTATGTAAAAAATTACTAGTAATTGATACCTATGCTATGTATGCTAAAAAAGGAAAGAAAAAATATATACCTAGGTACTAAATCATCCTGGAATAAGTACAGAGAAAAAATAAACATTTCAGTCAAAAGTTTACACGATCGATTTAGTAAAGGCTCTTGAGTAAAATAAACAGCAGCACAACAATTACGTATCAGAACATTGCAGTTATTTGTAGAACAACACCATGAGGTCGAGCGATCGATGGGAAATTATGCGATACATATTATGTCATAGGTCGTAGACCATTTCCGAGGCTTGCAGTTTTACCCCTTTCACTACTGATCATAGCTTTTTGTTACTACGAGATTCTAGCTTCTCAAGCTTTAGATAAAGTTAGAATTAGATGATAAGACACAAGCCTATAGACTACCGAGATGCCCACAATCTTTATTAAATGTGAAATTAATTTCCGTTCGATTCAGGTCGGGTGAAGTTCAGTCGATTAAACTCTTTTTCCTGCGAGGAATATTGGATAATGTCACTATAAACTTGATTGTAATTTTTTACAACACGCTATGAGGGCAATCAATATACAGAAATAGTACAAAACCATATCACAGTAATAGGAAGTTGAAAAAATAGCCTCTCGAAGTCGGATAAGGACTAATGGAAACAATAAGTGCTTATTTAAGGCTATTTGTCTATTACCTAATGCTGCACTTATCAGTAATCGTCGGCGATAAGCTTACAGTTGTGAAGTGTTTACCAATCCGCAGATGCGCATTTAGATATACATACTATACCTATTTAGTTACGTAAACATTTAAAATCATCCTGTAACAATAGAAATATCAAGCAGGTGAATTTTTCCACGAATCACTTTGATTATTATGATCCACGTAATACGCGTCTATATTCTGCGTACCTTATTTTTTGTTGATGGGGGGAGACCTTCCAACGGTGCCTAGCTTTTTGCGGAAAAAAGTTTAGGGAGTGTGGCATTTTTACCTTACTAAAACCTCCCCGGTGACCACCGTCCACACCTGAAGGAGGCACCGGGTCCTCTTAGTAGACCAACCCCGGAGCCCCCACGGTGCAACGCCTGTTACGGCATCTCCCTATGGAGACCTATGTGTCTACCTGGTGCCTCTCTGTGCAGTGCACGGTCGCTCCTAACCACTGTGCTGCCGTCTTCCTTGAGGTCATTAGGTGGGCGCCTAGATTCCTCATTCTATGCGCCCATGAAAGTTTTGCCTGCCAATATTCTGCGTACCTAATAAATTGGTTATGTAGACCTTTGTAATTATATTCAAACTCTCCCTCTTCTTCATATGTGCCGTTCACATCAGGCTCATATAAACCAAAACGTGAATACTTCGTTCGAAACTGACAACACAATTTTTCTGCACTCACAAAGTCATGTACCTACAGCTATCGGGAATATCTCTGTTTACAATATTTCCACCGACATCATAAATTGTATTCTTCAAACTGAACAGCAGCTAATTAATAACAGGTCCGATGAATACACGGTATTGCAATATTCAGGTCACAAGTTCGTGTTAAGTGCTAGGCATAGACACGATTGTACAATGTCCTAGTTCACTTTTACTGCAATACTTTATGACCTACTGCAGTCAATTACTTACAGGCTATAAAGTTCAACATTATTTATTACATCATATAAACAAAAACTGCAAAAGAAAAACCATATTTTCTAAGCAAAGATTTTTCTGTTTTCGTGAAACTCACGGACAGTTTTCTTCAATTAAAATATTAGCGGAGAATTTTTTTTCTAATTTTTATTGCAACCAGAAACACAGTTACTGAACAGTAGTTATATAAGTAGGTCTGTGCATCTTTATTTAAGGCCCTACAGTAAATAATAACTATCGTCATCATTGTCACCTTCCACAGCTGCCTAGAGGCGTCTCCATTTGTTCGTCACGCCGAACGGTAATCCATGCTTGTATTTATCTGTTACTCACGATTTCGACAATGTAATTTATATATTTATACGTATTGTACCTATTTGTTTTAAATGTAACTTTAACTGATCAAGTCCTAAATAGACATAACTATTCTAATATTGTACACATCCTTAAGATTACTATCAATAATAGGTAACATTACTTCAATTGACCCTTGAGATATAAAATAATCTAAAGTACTGTTGCACTGTCTAATACAATTATTTAAAGGAGCCATCACATAAATCACTTATATTGAGACAGTATAGTTCATATGATTCCAATCCCTTAAGTCGGAAACGCCCACCTCTACAAATCTTTTGTTTTGATTGCTACTTGAGTTATTGCTAGTTTATAAATTATTTAATTTCCTTTTTGGTAGGCAAATAGAAATTACGTATCCTTTGGTATAACGATATAGAAAGAAAAAAAGAAAGAGATCGGGCTGTATAGCCATATTAGCCATAGGATAGTATCTACAGAAGTATTTTTTTTAAGGGGGAAATCATCGTCTGACTGCTCCCGCCAGGGTGAAGCGGGAGGGAGTGTCAGACTCTTACTGACTAAAAACTGCCCCTTTCCTTCTCCTGCACGTCGAGCCGGAGCCCCGGTAACCCGTTAGGTTCTCCGCGACAGTACAGGAGTATATGAGTGTATTCCAAAGTGTATTTTGATATTTGGTTGACTATTTCTGTGCATCGTACGATTTGCTAAAGAAAATTCTAAATAAAATCACTACATAGTATAAAACAAAGTCGCTGCTCGCCGTCTGTCTGTCCCTATGTATGCTTAGATCTTTAAAACTACGCAACGGATTTTGATGCTGATGATTTTTTTTAATATATAGAATGATTCTTAAGTAAGGTTTATATGTATAATACATGCACATTGCACCCGCGCGAAGCCAGGGCGGGTCGCTAGTCTTTAATAAAGCAATTCTCAACTTTATGGACATTGACTACATTGTCCAATAGATTTAAAGATTATGTAAAGCAACGAATCTAGTCAGATTTTACATTCAAGTTCAAAATAACAACTACCGCATCTATTTTCCTACAGGCCTCAACAGAAGCTGAACATGTGTCTCCGAAACAAACAGCTCATGATGAGGAGCACTCCCTCAAGTGTGGGTGGGGCATGTTCCGACCCTCGTGGCTGCAGCGGTTCAGGACTGCTAAGTGGGCGCTGTTCTGGCTCTGCTGGGCTGGCGCCATACAAGGTAGGACTTTTAAAAGACATAGAATCTGGAATAACTATTCGTGTGATGTATAATTGAAATGTTTACAAATAAGACCAAAATGTGTATTGGTATTTTAGCTATACGTTTACTCGTTCCAAAGTGTAGCTTTCTTTTTATTTAACTAGATGTTTACATCTGTAACGTGAAAATGCGTAAAAGACGTTAATTACTATCTTACTTGCCAAATATCGATTTTCACTAAGATAATAAAATTAAATACTTATAGCAGGAAAATAAACAAATTAAAATTAGACCACCATACAGCTCATCATCAACAACCTTGAAGTGGCTACTGCTGACCAAAGGCCTCTTCTCGCACGGAGAAGGTTTGAGCATTAATCACCACGCTTGCTTAAAGCGGGTTGGCGATTTCGAACTCATAATTAGAAGTTATAGTTAGGCCCAGATTTTCTCACGATTTTTTTTTTTCAACGTTTTATTAACATTTGTCAGTAGTGTCTACATAATCTTAGAAAGTACATGCAACATCGTAAAAGTCACATTAGGACTTGCCTTTGGTAGGTTTCGAACCCACACTCTCATGCATAAGAAGCGGGCGTCTTAAGCCTCCGGGCAACCACGACATTTTTTACAATACAGCTAGTCAATTAAAAACAACATGGGGAAAAACTACGTATAAACATTACTACAATAATTAAACTACCATAAACAAACATAAAAATAAATGAACAAACATTTTCGTCAGTACGCTAGTGACGTCACACAGTAACTTGCAAGTTATGGGCACAGGCCGGAGTTATATTACTCATTGTTTAAAACAATAGCTTTACAATAATCAACTTTGGACTTTGACCTTATGTCTATCATATTAAAGATCTTTTTAGTTCACAAGTGTGAGAGATATTTCAATAATGAACTACCTAATTAGTCATTTGTGTTCGATTTTAGTAACTGTGCTAGTTTTGATTAAGTTCAGTTTTAATTGCCAGTTTCATTGGTCTAATTACGAAGGTATACCTACTTAGTATAGATTTTAAAGGTCAACTTACATTCTGTTAGGAATAAAGTCTTGAACAATTGTATGCATCTCCTTAAATATTGCTAAGGGTTGTGAAAAGGACCTACAATTACGATTAACCTACATATTAGAAACTTCCCGTCCGCAGTTCCGTACGTATGGTCAAACAGGTCAAAGTACCTTCCAAAAAGTACCCTATATCATTCTCCAGCCTCCTTACAATCTTCAGAGACAGACAAACAAACAGACCTATGTAGTTCGTAGTTCATATGTAGTAGACACTTACCCATTTACGAGTCGTACATGCATGCGACTACACGTGGAACAAAACAGTTAGTAAATTACTTAGATACATAGGAAACAATAGAAAGAAAAAACATTTATTTAGCACCAGGCACGATGCAGCATAAATAAAATATAAAAAAGACAATCAAGGTGTGACAGTGGAAGTAATAAAAATATAAGAGTTGAAAAATTAAAACAGAAGAATTAGAAAAGAGTCGCTGACAACATGCCTATGCTAAAGGAGTCACCCACTCAGTATAAGCCAGGCATACAAGTCACCCAGCACTGATTTTCAGTGGGCACCCATGCAGTGACGCACAATAGGCTATCTACTTCTATAATTAGTGTAATAATTATCTTTCATATACAAAACGATAGAGTAATTAATCCAGAACATTGTATCAATATAATAAATAGGACTTAACATGGATTATGTACGATCCATGTCCATTATACGAGGGATCATTATTGGATCAGTATAGCTTTTATTTGCCCTCACTGACAGTCGGCCTAACTATTAATATTGTACACTCGGCCCAGCTCTCAATGTGGCTGACCAGCATATTTCCAGGTCACCTATTCCCAGAATTGAAATGTTTATTGTATTTTAATTAAGTTGGTTTAAAGACACAATTTGTGTTAGGTTTAATATGTATTGTGGCACTTCTTTATTTAGTTCTGGTCCTCTTAAATGATCATCTTCTCTCTTGATTAGTCCACAATAACATTATTACTACTAGGCAAACGTAGGGTAGGGCGCCGTCCAGTGACGATATACGTAAAGTGGCTGGTAGTGGTTGGATGCGTAGAGCTGAAAACCGAGCTCAGTGGCGTGCCATTGGAGAGGCTTATGTCCAGCAGTGGACGAAAACAGGCTATTGATGAATATTATTATGTGTAAACCTTCTTTAACTACGTGTACTTACTACTAAGTGTACACTTACAACAAAAGCAAAGGTTGGTAACGCCTTTGTTAAGTCCTTTGGTTTTGCGGTTGTCCATTAGTGGCGAGAGTCCGATGTATCAGGCACCAGGCGATCCGTCTATGTGTATCCCACAAAAAAAAGAAAATACGTTTTTAATCTCCGTGATACCATGTCAGTATAACATGTATACAGACAGAGTCAGAAATATCGGTATGAGCACGAATGTATAGACACGCATACGCGCAAATATTCACACAAAGAAGTACATATTATTATCTTCCACTAACAACGCTTTACTCGCACTTATTCATTACAGCTGAGATATTAATCTATGCAAATGGCTGCCCAATGATCTAGACAATACGAACATTAGAAAGCACACGCATTTAACATGAACATCTGAGAAACTGTGTTGCGATCGAGAGTCACACACTTTCCATATGATGCTGGGTTCCGACAAGATAATACTGTTTCTAGTATAAACAATGCTGTTTCTGTTGTTCAGTAGTAGTTTTTTATTTGTTATTGTCTTGTCTCTGTTGTAGAACGAGAAAAGATTGTGTATATTTGTTTGTAAATGACCATTTTCTTGGAAAAGTCTACCAGCGCATTTCTAAAATCGGTAGCGATATAGTCCTCGGTCCTTCTCACACAAAATTGGGACTGTTTTAAGTGTATTTTTTTTTAATTTTTACCTGAAACGTCACGTTTTTTTATTGATTTACAGGTGTGAGTATTCATGTGCTCACAGCATGACCTAAAGGTTGATATTAAATCTAAGATTTAGAATTAACTTAAACTGTCAAACACCGCGAGGACACCGGTGACCGCAACCTATTGTTCTTTAATTGTGTCTATAATGACGGTACTCAAAGGGTTAAATCTGAACACCATTTGCTTTAGCATTTTCATATCTTTTGACACTTGCTTCATATCGTGCCTTTAACAACAGGTAAGAGGGAGTAGAAAGCCGAATTTTAGGGCACAGTTCCCTACAGATACAATTATGACATCTCTCAGATATAGGGGTGGTGAAGCCATAGAGTCCATTATGAAGTAATAATTAAATTAATTAACCATGCTACCTCGTCGCCATGTGTGTCTGATTGTCATACCTAATTGAGAGGAGTGGGTTCCATGCCGCCGGTAAACGGGTCCTTACTCAATGTATTAGAGTTTCATTTAATTAGTTCGAAGCATTTGAACTCTTACTTGTGTGTTAAATATAATTAGTTGATGAGTACGTGTACGTACGGCTTTATTAAATTTTGGCTGATTTACCTAAGCTGAGTGCTTTTATTTTAGCTATTTAGAGAGTTCTCACAGTTCTAGTGGTTGTTATAAAAAGTTGTTACACATTTTGTACATAATTTCATTCTAAATCTAGTGTTGTGTAATCATTTTCTAAGGTACCTACTATAACGTATATCCAAGAAAGTCATTCGATAGTCACGGCAGTCCCATGTGTTACAACATCGCGTCACCTTGGGCTGCACGCGACTCATTATATCAACATTTTATGGTCTAATATAATTTGATACACTTGGAACCCAGAACATAACTACAATAAGGAGGCAGTCAAAAGATTATGTAATCAATTTAAAAGCGACTTATATTGAAAGTATACAATTTAAAAGAATAAAAACCTAGCATAAAATACGTGTTTAGCTAGAAAATCATAATGACATTACGTCGTTGTCGGATGCCCAACAAAAACACTTAAGTTCCACAGGAAGCCCCTGTTAAACCCCCAAACAAATAAGGAAAAGGGGTTAATGAAATAATAAAATACATTAATTAATATAAAAAACACAAACTCAGCCCACTGGGGCCGGATAACTAGATTTACACGGCGATTCGCCCACAAAATTAACTGGAGGCCCCAAGTTAGGGGGTGTAGCGAGCGACTTCAGTAGCGTAGAAATAAGGAGGCAACTATTTGCTGCTCGCAGAGAGTAGGTGCAACTAAAATACAAAGTAAGCTTTAATTTTATTTAGAAAATAATCCTCGTACTCCTACGCATTTTATAGAATGGTACAATACAGGGCGTACACAGAACGCCAACGCAAACAAACATGGCCATAAATAAAGTGAAATTATCTCAAAACACATAGATTGGCAAAGCGCACCTTTCTTCAGCGGCCAAGTCATTCAACTCGTTCATTATCCTACCTCGCGAACGCTTATGACTTGCGACCTAGTCGGACACACCATGCAAAAACTCCATAGTTATTTTGGAGAAAAAAGGTTAAAAGCCAGGAGAGAATACCTGCGAAGTGTTAATATTGTTGGTTCACCGTCGGCTCCTTAAATGCGGGAAACAAATGAGGATGCATTATATTTTCCTCGGTTTTCCCACTTTTCTACAAACGTCGTTAGGTGGGGATTTTAAATGGGGTTTTGGTTTGGGGAAGCTGTTCCTTTCATGGTATTTTTTTTTGATATTGTGCACTTGCATAAGATTTCATGAGAAGATAATTTAAAAACTTTGTATGTTTACCAATAAGTAATGACTAACATAAAATGACAACTTAATTACACAAACATTACACAAAAGCGACAAACACAACAATAACGTAGTATTTTTAATGACTTTAAAGAAAAAAATATTAAAAGGAAATATGGCAACAGGCAAACACAATAACACCCGAGTTACCTTATTAACATGAGTAAATTAGCTGTACAACGCGTATTCATTCCGTACTGCATTTGTTTGTTTATTGATTCGTGAAGATATAGTGAAGATAGCAGCAAATTATTATGGTCACGTGACCGTGGCGCTATCATT